TGACATCATTTTGAATCAAACAGTTGGCCTTTACCAAAAACCAAAAGTTGGATTCTCTTCTGATATCTCGTGCATTTTTCATTCCGTACTTAAAAAATAAAATAGAAACATGCCAGGCGTACAACATACCATAAACATATAAACACACCGGAATCAAAACGGCAAATCATGCAGCATTGTGTCTGTGTGAAGGCTGGTTTCAGCGCTCGTGTCCAACCAAGGACGAGTGCAGAGGACAAAACTTTGCTCTGTGTACATTTTGTGCAACGTTGTTAAATCAAAATCCTTTAAGGGACATCTTCACTGGCTCATCGATGTGTAATAAACGTGTACTTGTGCAGGATTGTCCAACTCTTTTTGCTGATTTTAAAACATGTAAATAAGAATGATTTACAACAGTTTAACAAGAGAATTCAGCCAAAAAAACAAAAGATAGAAAACTTTTAGGCAATAAGAATGACACGATCGGATTGAATCGGTAGGCTAGGCACCTCAATTTCTGGAGCCTGGTGAGAAAGAGGAAATCTTCTTTCTGTGTTGTGTGCATACCTGATGAACAATTTTGCTAAAGGCTTCTTGTAGTTTACCATGGATGGTGGCTAGCTTTTTTGCATCTCTGTTGGCTTCATGGACTGGAATTAGCACCTTGTACACTTCATTCACCGCCTCGTACATGCCAGCCTGAAGAAAAGAGCAACACAAGCATCAGTAGAGTACAACCACTCATTTAAACACAGTTCTGTATTGTGTATAATTCATTTTATACATTTTTAGAATTATTGTATTTTTCAGACTATAATGCGTACTTAAAATCCTTTAATTTTCTCAACAAAAAAAGAAAATCAAATTCTTATCATCGTTGTAAAATATTACATAAGTATGACTTTTTGAGTTGGGAAAACATGATAATGTATTCAGACGTCATACTTGTACATAAAGTCTTTCATGGTTTGGCTCCACCACCGCTAAAAGACTTTTAAGACTTTAAAGTACAATTACATTTAGTAAGGGAGACTGTAAAATACCATTTAGAAAAAGTTATTTCGGTCAGTTGTCATTTTTTGTTCGGGCTCCAAATTATTGGAATAAACTACCATTAGAACTAAGAAATACTACGTCCTTAAAGTGTTTTAGGAAATCACTTGAAGAATGGTTACTACATAATCAAAATTGTACTCATGTTTTGAATAATTCTTAAATCAAATTTTACTTGTTACTTTTTCCATTTTTATGGTCGTGACTTGTTTTTATTTCTTTATATAAATGTTTACTGTAAATTACTGTAGTGAACTAGGCACAGACAGAGGAATGTTATGACGAAGTGAGACAACGCAGGTGCCAGTTGAAGTTATTTACTGTCCGCAAGGTTTAAAAACAAGACACTTCGTTCTAATAACTCGTCTCTGTTTGTCTCTGACTTTTGACCGACATCACTACTCCTCATTCAGACAGAAAACTAAAATGCACACTTACTTCGTAAATAGACATTTAACTTGATTTCTAAGTCTAATGAGGTTTAAAAATCATTAATACTGTTTCACAGTTGATTTAAATGAGTGGTTCACTTCAACATTTAGAAATGGTATGAACTAAACACACATTTGATTATCAAGATATTCTAATAGTAATGATAATGTAAAAAGGAAGAGTGTTCTTTCAATTGATTAATTCAGGATACAATTAAATAGTCTCTTGATGAGATAACTTGTATTTCTGGATTCAAATCAATGAAATAACAGTTCCTGTCCCCTGAAGGTCTTCAGAGACAGGTTGAGGTCAGAGGCCTAGTTCACTAGTTCACATTACTTTTAGCTATATTTAAAATTGTCATAACTTATAGGTAATGTAAGTTGTCGTGCATGTTAATTGTAATTTTTTTAATCTCTTATCAACCTGCCATGGGACTACAGATGAAAATCAGCCTCTTTGGTTAAATCTGGCATATTTATGTGGTGTATTCATGTTGATTAATATGCGCTGTCCCTTTATGGAATAAAGAAACTGAAAAATCAACAGTGAGCCTTATAATGAAGTGCACCTTATGTATTAATTCTGGTTGTGCTTACTGACCTCAAAACGATTTTATGTGGTTATTGTGAATGAGCTGAATAAAGTTTGACTTATCTGACTGTTTTGTTTTGCTTAATGCGCCTTATAATCCAAAAAAAATAGTAATTCAATTGCAAACTAATGCTCTTATTTTTCTGTTTCGCCATAGTGAGTAAAAACTATATTTTCCAAATGAAATCTGTTTTGAGTTTTTTTCCTTCCTATTGAGCCATTCGCTCAAGTCTCTGACTTTATCCAATCACTCCTTGCTCACCATGGAGAACGAGGCAGCTGCCTGCTCCAGGAGACCCACAAGGCCAATTTCTGTGAAGTATTTCCCCGAGCAGATGCCCTCCTCATCGGGTGACACCACATCGTCTGACACTGCAGATTCTTCCAGAACATTTGAAGAGATATTCTGGAGCGCAGATGCACACGAGCAGCAGCAGCAACAGAAACACAGTATCAGACTATTCGTTTGAAGACAATTATTGGGCCAAAGAAAAAAAAAAAAAACTGCTCCGATTTTATTTCTGCTCTAGCTGTCCATACCTGGAAGGTGACGCAGCCTACAGGGAGATACTTGCGGTCCTCGAGCATGCTCAGGTATTCTGCCACCAGCGCAGCGCTGTGCACTAAACACTGAGCAGCCTCGGCATGATTATTCCTCTCCGAGTGTTTTCCAGCCATGTTCTGGAGCCATGTAAGACGCAGGTCTGGAGATGTCTGGTACCCCTTTGCAATCCTAAAGTTGAACAACACAGAAGCACAGCAGTCTAAACACAGATGGAAAAAAAAGAAGCCAAAACCCTATTAATGATTTTAAATTTAAAAAGCTTCCCAGTTACTTGTGGTCAGTACCTGTACATGAGATCTATCAACATCTCAGGATCTTCTTGATGTTCTTTCATCTTCACTGTGTCAGACAGGATCATGTGCAGATTAAACACAAGGTCCTGGACCTGGTGTGAAAAACGCAGAGCTCAGGTTAACAAATACACATGACCTTTCATAGCATCAAGTTAAAACTACAAAATATATAAATATAGCTAACTGAATTTTAGATTTTTCTATTCATTACATGAGTTGGACAACAAAAAAACAACAACAAGCTAAATAAATCCGTACCTGGTCTGGGAAAGTGGTCTCCCTTAGTTCGAGGTCCTCCTCTGCATAGGTAAGGATAGTTTTCAGTGACCGCCGGAGGAACTCCTCGTTAAAATTTTGGGATGTTCCCACCAGCGAGGACAGAGACATGGTCACCTGCATCTTCACTCTCGCAAAGTTCTAAAAAAAAAATGCAACAGTTAAAAGAAACTATACTGTACTTGTACCAAACTCTACCTCTGCTCAAAGAACATGAGCCAGACATTTACTAATGCATGTACAGTAGTCCCTCGCTACTTTGCGATTCGACTTCTGCGGACTCGCTCTATCGCCGTTTGTGAACGTACAGTCCATAATGTTGTACAAAAAAAATTGTACAGGACACATCATTGTCAGCTTTAATGTTATTCACGTGATCGGGACAGTACTGGATACAGTACTGTACAGTTAAAGGGTAACAAAAAAATAAAATACTTTGGACAGGTGCCACCATTTTGTAGTTTTCTCTCAGTAAGCCTCCACTGTACTCCTACTCATAACAACCACATTTCCCAAAAAGCAACAGGGTCCCACCCAGAAGCACCATTTCCTTATGCTGAAAAAAACCCCGGAGGTACAGTAAAGTTCTGATCTGATCGGTGCCCCCGGAGCAGAACTAGACTTCCAGACCCATCGGTGAATCTTGAGAGCTGGTAGCTCACCCACGTGGATCTCCGTGCAAACACACGTGACCAAAGGTCCGGCGATCTATCTGAAGTTCAACGAGACTTTTTTAATCTCTTTCAACCAGTCAACAACGAGGACCTCCAAGCGGGGACACGCTGGTAAGTAACATTTAGCAGCTACATATAAGTATATTGTTAAAATGAGTAGGTTTAAGAGTTAAGAACATTGATTGTGGGCTTCGTTGCTGCAGGGTACGTCTGCAGAAACGAAACAGAGTCAGACTGGAAATGAACTGAGCCGCTGCTGTTCTGCAGAGCCCAGTTAGTACAATTTAGTATCTACATATAACAGTATTGTATCCATGTTGTTAAAATGGTGTAGGTTTAAGAGTTTAGAACATTGCAAGTGTGTGGGAAGGGTTTCTAAAGTTTTAGTATATATAAATACTAAAATAAATATAACGTCACTACTTTATAATTTCACTTACTGCGGACGGGTTCGGAACTGAAACCCCGCAATAAACAAGAGACTACTGTACTGCGCATATAAGTTCAGCGTGTCATCTTTTAGTCGCGCAGCTGTACTTACATTGCCGATCTCAAAGTTTTGTCTCATGAGGAGGTAGAGGGAGGCACTGGCGTGGGATCTGATGGTACTTATGCTGCTGCTGCAGCTCCTCAAAAGCCGCAAACACAGATCAGCACACTGCTCCGTTTCTTCCTCAAACAGTAGTTCAGGAAACTGCACAAGTATAAAAAACAAAAAAAACAACAAATCACAAATTACAAAATTTTAATCCTGGGAGAATTTGAAAAAGTTAGGTGAAATAAAATAAAGCCTTAGAAATAACCTTAGAAACCAGGGCTCTCTGAGTGGCAAAACAGTGCTGAAGGTAGAGGGCGCTCTGGTTGCAGGCCATGCTATGGAGCAGCACCTTTAACACCCCACCGAGGATGCTCTCCTTCGATTCTGTCACCGATACTGTCTGCAAAGAGAAGGAAAATATTTGGTTGTTTAGAAAGTAAACATATTCAGAATTAACATGTAACTTTCTTTGACACAAGTGTTAATCCTAATAACTAGCAATAATTTAAGTATCTGTAGCTGTGCTCCAGTGTGTTTGCTTGCTTACCTGTACAATGACCTCCAATGTATCAAGAATAATTAGGTTGGCCTCTGTTGCAAGGTTACCATCAATAAGGGCTTCATGTTCCAGCTCTGCTCTTGTTCTGCAGTCATGAAAATAGTTGGAGAAAAAAAAGAAAAAGATTCACAAAAGGAACTCCCAAATTGTGATGCAGATTATGTGGTCGTGAATAGTTGTCTGAAGAAGTTGTTTGTTTTTGTCGTCACGTTTCCCGTCTTTGAGAAGTAACCTTTACATCCCTGATTGATTAATGGATCGGAGGAAAACGATTTAGCAAACAAACAAAACATTCTCGGAAAATGATCAGACGATGGAATGATAATGATTGAAAAAGCAGGAAAGGAAAAAAAAAAACACCCTTAGAAATAGAAATATTGTTTGAAGCCATTTTTTTTTTTTAGTTTACAAGAAGGTCTGCACCTCTAAAAGCCAAATATATATAAATAAACCCAACTTGTTAAAATCCAAAGCTGCACTAAAAGTAACTTCTTAACCTGCACGATTCTAATTTTAACCAAGTATTTTAAAAGGTGCTCAGTGAAGTATCATGAAGACTGACTGAGAAAAAAAAAGAAAGAAAGAAAATCTGGACATTTATTTTTTCCCTAATATGTCCATATTATATGTGTCCTCAAATTAAAAATTTGTAATCAAACTTTGTGAACTGAGGCCAACTATAACAAGCTCTTTTTTACCTATGGAAACAGCCAAAGTGACAAAAAATGGGCCAACAGTGATAACGTCCATGGAAGAGCTGTTTTAAATCAAGAATCAAGACCGTTTTGATGTGTTGGTGTGTGATTACGCTCAGATTTTAGTAAAATAAGCAGATTAAATGGCTTAGTTTATACTGAGTGCATACCCACATTTCACTAGGGGTGTAACAATAATATCAATTTACATCAATATATCGATCAAATGATTCAATTATATCGTGGCAAAACGAAAACATCGATTCGTATTGTCATCTTTAAAATACGCTTTCATTTTGAAATCTCCAAGGCACGTCTGTGTCACCATTTCCGTGCGCGGCTGCGCTCTGCGGCCGCCTCAGCAACATGGCAGACGAGGCAGAAAACACAGATAATGAAATTCACTCTCCTGCTGGATTTAAATCAACACTGTGGAAACATTTTGGGACGGCTCAACGGACAAAACTCATCCGTATGCAACAGGTGCCAGTGTGAGTTCAAATACTCAGGAAACAACAAATTTAGCCGTTCACCTAAAGAAGAAACACGGTATTGATAGCCATGTTATGTAAACTCAATATCTATTTTTGTTTCTTTATAAGTGAAAGGTAATCAGGACACTTTTAAGTTAACTGGTTTAAAAAATGCATTTAAACATGAGAAATGTGAGACTATACTGAACAGGTTGTTTATTTTTATTTTTTCATTAATTAAGAATTTTATTTATGTATTAAATGCCTGGTGCCTGTAACAATAGAAATAAAATGGTTAAATAATATTTGGATTGTTTGTGTAAATTTATTTATATGTAAATGAGATGGGCATTTGATATCGCAATATCTCGATCGCAGACTTGTGAATCGAATAGAATCGAAATCGCATCGTGACACAAACAAATCAATATAATGTATCGTGGTAAAGCTGGTGATTTACACTCCTACATTTCACAATTGCATATCTGGAAAACTCTTGGGAGTATTTGCTTTGAAATAGCACTATTTGATATTATTCAGCATAACTTTTATTTTTGATTTTATGGTTTATAAGCAACAATACATGCTGATCTAAGCCTATACATGTAACTTTCATGTCCAAAGAGCTTTTAACTTTAGAATCATTAAGAAGGCTTCTTTATCATTTCAACAGCAACTAATTAAGTGGATAACTAAAAAAGTTATTCCTGGTTTACAGGTGCAATGCAATTTAAATGTTTAAAAGCTACATGCGTTAAAATATCTATTGTTTTTGTCATTTAGTGTGTTGCTTTTGGCAGTGACATCCAGAGACACACACAAAGTCAGAATCCAAAAACAAGAAGCAAACATGTTAAAAAGCAAAACAGATCCACAGCAACCATGACTAACCCCAGGACATAGAATGTTATAAGGCAAAGGGACTAAAGGGACAGTGGGGTTCAGGGCTCAGAACCAGAATCAGAGGTCCCCGTTGGTGTTTTCACGTGCATGTGAGAACTTAAAAAAGTTAAAATGGAGAAAAAAAACACATTTACTCGATTTCACTCGTGGCTCTAGCGCTGCTGTGTTATCCAAAATCAAATAAATCAGAAAATTATTTACTGACCAGTTCATAGTCCAGATCATCCTGTTGTAATACAAACAAACTAATGTGTTCATTTCGTTTCCACTTTAACTGGCTGACTTCCCACATGCATGACATTACACCTTCGTATGAGGCTCTAAAGAGGAGGGGAACTCAAAGAGCACACAACAGATGTAGACCATACAGTACCTGACTGATCTGTGACTCCTACATAAACACAGCAATATGAGAGAGCAAATTAACACAAAGGCTGATACAAAAGAACACAAATATAAAACGCTGAACAAAAAAAACTAAAGGTTTTTGTGTGTGTGAGATTGCGTCATCACGTTTGACATAAAAAACGGTGATGCAAAAATGTGATACTAAATCTCGAATTTTAGGAAATAATGTCAAAAATATCTAAAGGTGCTTTTCAAACACCGTGGCAAAGACACTGTCAGACATTGGATGAATTTCCTTCTATTCCTTTGTAAATCCAGGTTTTTTTCTTCATAAATACCATTCAACAATGACTTTGTAAATACATGTTTTTGAAGTATTTTAAACTACATTCAGCACTTACACACAGGATATTATGTCTTGATTAAAGTGTGAAAATGACTAATTTCACATAAAAAATGAAAATAGGATGTAATGCATTGGAAATTGTTTCTCTTCACATAAATGTTTTGTTGTTTTTTTGCTGAAGGGGATGAAAATATTTGTCAATGAAAACATTGATTCTTGAAAAATCTTGTAAAAATCATCTTCATCACTTGTTTAAACAGAAGTTCAACTCAGTACATTCACTCAGTCAGATATGCATATTGTCAGTAAATGATACACTTAATAATTAATACTGATTTCCAGATCTCTTGAATGCACAGTTTCCATTTTTAGGTGACACAAAAGAATGAAGAAAAAAAAAAAAAACTAAGGTAACTGAATGAACATACTTGTCCATCCTTTCAGTGTTTTGTCTCCAGTGGGTCATGTCCTTCCTCCACCTGAGGTTTTCTTGACTACCAAAGGCACTGCCAGATGGACTCCGTTCTAAATGGTGGAGAAACACGATTTATTTTTCTGAAAGTCAGAAAGGCTGCGCCTGCGCTGGAAAACATAACTCAGTTGCAGCTAAAGTAGAAACGGTTCACGACTTCTTCTTCAATACAGATTTCTCTAGTTTTTATCATTTGTTTGTACATGGGTCTACCTGCATTTGTACAGACATGTCTGAGCACGTGTCACAGTGTGTGGTCCCACCTAGCTGTCCCCGACTGCGTCGCACCATTTCCTGTCTGGCCCCGATGCTGCCCAATATGGCCTCCTCCAGCTTAGCCTTCATATCTTTGGACTTCTTAAAGGTCAGGCTGTTCATGCGCTCAAATGCCTTTTTTCCCTGCATGGTGAACACAACATGGGCCTTGTATCCATGAAGAAGATGATGAGTGGAAGGACAGAGAACATATAGCAGGGAAATTATTTGCAACACAGCACACAGCCAGGCAAAGCAAGTTAGTAGCATGAAAGCAAAGTTGCACACAAAGGGCAGCAAACAGCAAAAATGCAGTAAAGCAGGGACGTTTTTTGTTTTGTTCAATGAAAAGCTAGATAAGAATAGAAAGCAGAAATGCTGCTACACAAAGGGCTTATATCACCACAGCAGCCAAAACACTGACACTTTTGCTCCATATAAAAAAGACAACGCAAAGCAAACGTCACTCTCTGCAGCGAACCCCAATTAAAATCACATGTCATCTTAAAATAATACCTATGAAGAGTAAAAATAGTAGAAAATGCATTTTAAATTGTGTTGAGTTTCCAACTTTCTGTGCTCTTTATAGTTAAAGTGGCTCCAAAAGGTGAGGATATCTCTTGCAAACGCTACCTTGTACTCAAAGCAGGAGACACAGAGGTAGAGGAGATCCAGTAGGCGGTTGAGCTGGGACACAGACAAGTCTGTGAACCATTTCTGTAGCACCAGCTCATCAGCGTTCTTCAGGACCCACAGCAGACAGATGAGCAGGCTGCGACTTGACTCAGCTGAGAAGCTCCCATGCTGACGACTCGCCTGGCGGGATAAATCAGAAGGAGTCATAGGAGAGGAAAAACACAGAAGGTGGTAAAAAAAAAAAAAAGAGGCTGCAGTATAAAAACTCTACAAATAGAAAACTACCTGCGAGTTGAGCAAGAAGCTACTCGGTCGAGACATTGGCGATGCATTGGAGGTGCCTGCTATTGCCATGGCAACAGTCTGACTGATCATACTGTTCCCATCTCCCTCTGCTTCCTCTCCACTGTTGCCCACCGCTGTGCCCTGTGGACCGCCAGGCCGGCCCCACTGATTATGAGACTCTAAAATAAAAAACAACAATTTTAAGGCCTGCATTAGCATTTTAGCAAGCGGTTAGGTTAAAAACAACACAAAACAGAGATAAGAAATAAATGAAGTTAGAGATTAGCTAGAACATTATGTCAGGGCACCATGCTTTGAAGCTCCACTGATAACCTTTAAGGTTAAAGAGGCCCGTTGCTATTTAACATCTCAATGTAATCACAAAGACCCACCTGTTTGAAATGCTATATTTGGATTCTTGCCACATTACAACTCAACCAACCTAAATCACCTAGTGGGGAAATTCAGTCAGCAAAAAATGTATTATTTTATCCAACTCAGTTTTAATTTAAATATGATGATTATAATCAGAGTGCATCTGATTATATGGCAATAAAAAGCAGATGCAAGTACACATTTGACATTAACAAGGCATTTAAAACATAATTATAAAAAAGAATAAAGACAAGCTTTGGTTTCATAAAGCAGTTCATTTCAGTACAACACTGTAGCTTTTCCAACTGTGTCCCTGCAATCATTTTAAGCCATACAAATCTAACGTGGATGATGTATACCCTTAAATTATTTTATGTCCAAAATAGTTTGGCACCTGTACCTGTAAAGTCATGGAGCTGTGGCAACGTCTCCATGACGATGCCGATGAGAGGCAGGTAGAGCATGGCGACTCGAGCTTTGACCTCAAGATCGGCGTATCGAGGGTCAGAGTCATGGCTGGACAGGAGGTTGTGAACAACGCTCACCACCTTCTTGTGTAGACCAAACATTCTAGAGTAAAGCAAACACTCAATAAACAAACAAAAAAGGAACACAAAGATACAGTAGTTTTTACCTCAAATCTAAACAGAATCTATCTGCACTTATTTACCAACACTTTTTGCCTAACGTACTAACCCCTCATTATCTGGGTCCAGTATTACTGACAGCTCAGATAACACGAGTCCAGCCAGATAATGTTGCTCTCTGAATGGGACAGACAGCTCAAACATGTTGGCTATCTTTTGGTCCTGGACATGAGTGGAGAACCCAGAGCTCTAAATAAGAGAAAGAAATTCCAAACAAGACGGTGATACGTTTACCTGTGTTCAAGTAAGTAAAACAGACTGGATATTTTGCAGACAAATTGTGATTTGACACCACATAGTTACTCCGAGTGTTTCTGTCTGACCTGTGAGGTTGCTGAAGACACAGATGGGGAAGGCGAGGCAGGTGGAGTGAGCAGGCTGCAGGGCAGGTTTAACGTGACGTAGTGTTCGTGACTACAAACAACCCTTAGGAAATCAAGCCTTAAAGACTCCATAGTTGGATTCTGCAAAGCGTAAAGTTTCGAGGAGACCTAAACAGAGAAAATGGAAACGATGATGCAAATCTTATCACACCGAAATATTTAATTTGAAATAAAAACAATGCACGCATGTGCTGTCAAATCAACAAAATAAATATCATCACGACATAACTCTTGGGATTAAGAGATCTTTATGTACATTTCCTGCATGCCTATTTAAAAATTTAGTGAATCCGTCCAAATATCTTGTCTTTTTTACTGTCATACTGCAACAGAGTAAGAAATGTACCTGTTTCCAATATGTCCTAATTAACGTGAAGACAAAGCCTCGGTCCATGACTGACAGCAAGTCATTAAGAAAGAAAGCCAGGCTGGTGTTTAGCCTCTCCACCAACTCCAGGTCCTGAATGGACAAGGATTTAAGGCCTCGTAATGTACAAGACAGTATCAAGTGTGTTTGTAGAGCCAGAATTACACAAAAAAACATAATTCATATCAAAGAAACATGTTTATTTTCTCAATGTTCTTGTATGCTGCAAGCCTCTGAACATCTGATTCTAAAACACACTGCTGATGACATCATAAGACACCTGACCAGATTTTCATTTACCTTCTGGAAACGAGACACAATGTCCCCAGCGATGGTGCTGACCAGAGCTGTGATGTCATCCATGAAGCGTTCAGGAAAACGGTGCTTCCTGGGTGACTCCAAGCGTTCGGTGAAATAAAGGTGGTGGATAATGCTCTTCACCTACGGTCAAGGCGTTCATTCATTTAGCACACACTCAAATAATAAGGAAAAATAAATTAAGCCTTGTGGTAATACAAAACTTTTTCTTTGTCTTACCATGAGTTCAAAGAAGAACCAGGCCTGTTGTAGAGCACCTTCTCGGACGCTTCCACTGCTCACCACCCATTGGAGGGCCAACTCCTCATGGAAGAGCTGAGCATCGCATTCAAAATATAGAAAGACAATGAGATGGAGAGGGAAAGGCACAGAGGGAGAATGAAAGAGAAAGCAACAAAGCCAAGGAGGGAAAATGTGAGGTGCCTGAAGAAGTAGCTTTGTTTTTACTAGCATGAATTAGATATATGAGCATCCTGTATATAGCTACAAACACAAGAACACACTGGAAACCTAAATCTAAAAGGTTTTTAGTTATGAGCTTATGAGTAATGTCATAAAACCTAACTGGCTGGAAAATATGAAGTTGCATAGTAGATTTAAAATAAAAAGTTACAGAGTTAATTTCATTGGGAGCATTTAACTCAAAATTGAAAGGACTTGAGATTAATTATAATTTATACATGCTGCTCTTTTATTTATTTATCCATTGTTGTTTTTAGTGTTTCTCAATTTGATATTTTAATTTGTTGTCTTGACAGTGATGTGGTAAGTATGTTTCGTATTAGCTGCCACCTACCTTGGCCAGGTCTCTCTTGAAAAAGAAGGTTTTAATCTCAGTGGAATTTTCCTGGTTAAATAAATAATTAAAATAAAAAAACATATTTTATCCTTGTCTTAATAACCTAAAGGGAGGACCCAGCTGTCAACAGTGAAAAATTGTATTATTTTCATAAAAGTAAAAACTAAATCCAGTAAAACTCCTGCTTGCCCAACTCCAAAATTAAACTTCATTAAGGAAAGTGTTTTAATTTAAGTAATCAACCCTGACATGTAAACAACCAAAGAATAATATTAACACTAATTATTAGATAAATATGTTTTTTCATTACTATGCAATCCATAGTATTAGGCAGTTTAACCTCCTGACATACTAAAGGAATGGAATACGTTTGTTATAAATAAAATTACCGGTAATAAAATTAGTTTTTGCAAAGCAAGAAGAATTTATTGCCCATAAATTCCTCTACAAACTGAGAATAAACAATAATCTAGTTTATATTAAATGCTAACATCCAAAATAGTCTGGCTAATACACCAACTATTGTCCAGCAAGTCTTCTTTAATTTTGCTGACAGAAACAAAGCCAAACAGAACGTTATCAATATTAACCAAAATCTGAAATATAACTATTATAGAAACAGCACGGGGCGTTCGCCATGTTGTTTTAGACTTACTACAAACATACATCTTGTGAGGTACAATGAGCTGAGGAACAATAAGAGTGTGGTTGAACAGCTCCAGAAAAGAAAATTGGCTTTTTGTTTGTATTTACTGAACAGATTTTGCATAACTATAACAGAAATCATCTCTTAGTGTATTTTTTGTTCAATAATAACTAAAGAATGAAAGCAAGTGGTTGATTAAAAGGCATAAAAAAGGGATTCTTTTTGACAAAGTATTGCACTACAAATGAAGACTTCCCAGACTGTGGGTGTCTCACAGTCAGCTTTAGCCAGACTAGAGCCGACATTCAAAGCTCCTCAATACATTTAAGAATAAAAACAGCAGATCTGTGACACGTACCATTCAACAAAACTACACAAAAAAACAAGAACGACAACCAATGCAGAGGCACACATCCACAGACAGGACAAGTGAGGAGGCGAAGAAGAGGAGGACTGGATGGGCTCCTCCCCCAAGTGCAAGTGGCTCTACCTTTTTAGTGGGTAACCGTCCCGTTAAAGTTTGCAAGAAACTGGCGCTCTCAGTGTGCGAAGACATGCGATTGCCACAGCGCTCCATGGCCTATGAGTGGGATGAATGGAACGGTGACAGCAAAGTTAGTGGAGGAGCAACAGCAGCGTGGGGCTACACCACAACACACAGGCAGCTGTGTGTGCTGGGTGACACGTACCCCACACACACATGCAAAAAAACACACTTTTGTGAATTGTGCTGCACATACTTATACATGAGAACACAAAACATTTAGACATGACAGGGTCACAATGCTTAAATGTTGTGCCCCTAAACTAAAACATCAATTGCCTTACAGCAGAGATGCAAAATGGCAGCATAAGATGCACCATTCTGCATCTCTCCTGGTAAATGTAACACTGCAGAGACATAAAAGCACAAAAAAACAAACACTACTCTAAAAACGTCTACACATTTTATTACTAGTTATTATCTAGTAGTTTTCATAATTGTACTCTACAGTCACAGTTTTATCTTATCTTGATGTGGAAATAATAATTACATTATGTCATGACAACTTAAAATCACAAAAGACAACAAACGTAAAGAAAATAATGTCACGTGTTGATACACATTCACACTCACAGATACACCGAGCTCTAGTGACAAACTGAATACTATGTAGAGTTAGCAGAGATCAGAGCAGGTATAGAAAGGAGAATGGGATGTTATGAATAAAAGAAAAGAAAAAAATGGATTCTGTTGATGCTAATTATTTCTAACATCTCTTTTTCTCCACAATAAAGATATTATCCTCTAAAATGTACTTTATGTACAGTAGTCCCTCGTTACTTCGCGGTTCGACTTTCACGGACTCGCTCTTTCGCAGTTTTGCAAAATAAGATTGGACACGACACACAATTAATTGGCTGATTGATGGATGAGCTGCACGATCGGCATGGATTTTTTAATTTAAAATAAATGATTTTAAATGATTTAGCGTCTGAAGCTCCCTCCTGCAGCGTGTCGATCTCCGCTCTGCAGTGGAGAAGTGGGCGTGGCCTAGAGCGCTGGCAGAGAGAGTGGAGATCATGACATGCTGTGCTCTTTTCAAGTTCAAGGTTCTTTATTGTCATTAGCATTATTACATGCGATACATGAGGTGGACAAAATTGTGTACACAAGGTCCCAGTTATATCCAACAATAGCAAAAACATAAATTGTAAAAGAAAAAGTACTAAGGATCTAAGATATAAAGTAAGAAATACACTAAACTAAGAAATACGCTGCAAAACAATATGCCGAACAACATCAGCTTTTAGAGTGTTTAGAAACATTGTTTAAAATATTGCAAAAGTGTGGGAAGAGTTTAAAATGC